CTCATCTTTTCAATAGAATGCCATGAAAAAGTGCGCAAAAATTGGTAATGGGAACAGATGAATTCTGTTTACAAAAAGCTTTCTTTGTGAATGTTAAATTTAAAATACATCTATATCATTTATAAAAAGGTCCCGTTTTATCCCCTATTTGTCAAAACGTACTAAGATTAAAAGTAAGTTAACAGGAACGTACTAAGATTAAAAATAAAGTTTTTTTTCCTCATCTTTTCAATAGAATGTCATGAAAAGATGCGCAAAATTTGATAATTGGAACAGATGAATTCTGTTTTTAAAAAGCTTTCTTTATGAATGTTAAATTTAAAATACATCTATATCATTTATCAAAAGGGACTGGTTTTTCCCCTATTTGTCAAGTCTCTTTAACAACAACTATAAATTTATCTGAAGTAATAAGGAATGTACTAATATTGTAAATAAAGTTTTTTTTTCTGATCTTTTCAATAGAACATCTTAAGAAGTTGCACTAAGATTAAAAATAAAGTTTTTCTTCCTGCGACAATTATACTACTAGTAGTCATTTCCAAATTCTTTTTGAAAAGCCATCCCGGCAACATGACCTGACTTTTTATTTTTTAGTTCGTTATGCCAAAACTTTTGATATTGCCTGGCGTTTAGTTTTTTCTTCTAGGCGATTTTCATTCATTTTGTACACTGAGAAAAAAGTATGGTCAAAAATATCAGAATATGGTAAAATTTACCGTTTTTCTGGGCTCTATGGGAACAAAAAAAAGTTTATAATCTTGACCAAAACATTTGATTTTGGTAAAATTAACACTACTATATGGTCTTAAAAACAATACTATATGGTGCTAAAATTTGGTAATTTTATCGTGATACATTAGACCATAACATAAAAACCATTTATAAGGTTAAATTTACTATTCAGTTTTGTATTTTTTACTAAACGTGTGGTAATAAGAATTATGATTTCGAAAACCACAATTACCAGTAAATCGTTACTCTATGAACGATATAAAATTACTAAATGAATGGTTTAAATACCATATGTTTTGGTTTTATTGACCAGAATTATGCTGTTTTTTTTTTACCAGAAATCTCATTACTATACAATACTGTAATTTTTCCAGAACTTTTTTCTCCCTGTATAAAATACAGAAAACAGTTGCCAGATGTAGCAAAAAATATTTAATTAACCTGGAGACAGCGCCGTCGTCGTCTCCGCTCACCAACCCCATGATTGCTTCTCATTCATCACAATTTTCTTCTTCTTTTCCCCCTTAAAAGTTGATATTTTCCACTAAAGCAAAAAACATCAACCTATGCAACTATTGTAACTTTATGTAAGAATATTTCATCAATGTGATATTAGTAAAGAAATGAACGATTGCCTGGATTTAAGAAATCATCATATGTACCTAGGAAAAAAAATTATCCTAAGGAATACAGAATTTGTGAATCAATCAACAAAAAAAAAAGAACAAATAAATGAAAAATAATTTACTACATATATAAAATATATATATATATATATCTGGCAACATCTAATTTCTCTACTTTTGTTACTTTCGTCCTCAACTCAAGCGGGAGTTTATAAAATAAAATTTCAGCAAGTAAAATAAATTTTATTACAGCAATGGATAAAGATCAGCCAATATTTAAAGCAAACGACCTCCCATTAAAGGCGTTTTAGGCACTTTAAATTACACTAACTTTCTAACAAATTATAATTACTTAAAAACCTTACGTTAAGTTCACAAATAAAAAATAGCTTTTAAGTGAGGCAAATTTCTACATTTGCATTTCAACGTGTATTTGCATTTATATATTTGCATTTCACGAAAGCGGCCCTCTTGGTCTTTTTTACACGTTTAATAGATAATAATTTGCGAACTAATAAGCAAGTATGTATTATTTTTTTTATTTCATCTTAAGCTGTGTAGTATACATTTTAATAATATATAATATTTTGTTTAAAAAAATATTATATAAAATATTATAAGGTAAAAAAATTATCTAAAATAAAATAATAAATAATATTATCTTTTAAGTATCATATAACATTTTTTTTTTAAATTGCTAAAACGTATCAACAATAAATGTATCAACAATGCGTAAAAGTTTCTGACCTCAACTCTGAAGATGTGATGGATGATTAATGATAAATCTTTCCTAGAATGAAATTATTTTTCATTTTATGGTGTCGCCATCTATATGTGAGATATTACTTCGCAATTTTAGATTACGGGAGGTGGAATAAAAGACACTCGAGAGATACATTTTGAATCGAAAGCTAAGGGTTTTATCATTTGCTTACTTTTTAACTTCAAAGCTTTTTTAAATCATTTTTTTAGCTTCATATAGAGAAATTATGGCATTGCACAAAGTAACGAAACTATAACCAATAGGTAATTAAATTATGGGCCTTCACCTTTGCTCGCTAAAACCAAACCCGTGTTTGCTACTACTAAGCTATCAGTGTGATTTGTGGACAAAAAATGTATTGTTACATGATGTTTGAAAATTAGTCAACTTAAAAATCCCAACATATTTTTACAATCGTAGATCAGATTTGTTTTCCACTGAATAGGATAAATTTTAAATCCAATCATATTCCTCTGCTACCTTCAATAGCCTTGTTTTTTAAATTTATATTTAATTTCTGGTAATTCTAAAACTCCTTAAATGTTTATGGTGAAAGAGATCATTTGTGCAAAAAGTTAATTCCTAATATTATTTTATAATCTGAAATAGTTATTTTGTATTCATTATTTTAGCTGTAAATGTTGACCAGAAACAATTTTCCATAAACTTAATTATAAAAATAAACATAATTTGTTCACCATTTAGTTATTCTAAAATGGTAGTTAAAAGCGTAGTAAAATGTAGCTTAATGTCAAAGAATTACTTTATAATAAAGTAAAGAATTTAAATAATAATCAAAAAATAATTTGAATAATAAGATTCAAATTTGAATAATAATAAAAATCAAAGACTTAATATTAGCAGAGAATAATTTTAAGAGAAGATAACAAATAAATACGTCATGTAAGTAATACCGTTAAGCATGTAAAAATAAATAGTTTGCAACTTTTTATAACTTTTCTTAATTTAATATCTTTAAAGTTTTTATTACATTTTCGCTGATTAGAATAAAATACATTTAGATATTCTTTATTAACATGCATATCATGTGATTTTTCTGTTTAATAAAAAAGTAAAATACGACAAAATGGCAGCTTCTATGATATATATATAATGAAATTATTTTTCCGATATTAAAAACTTTTTACTTTAATGAGAAAAAATTAAAATCGAATATTTTCCTTTAAAAACAAAATCAAAAATGTAGTTGACACAATTCGGCAAACAATACCTAATTAAAATAAATGCAAATTTTACGTACGAGGAAATATGTTATTTGAATAATATGTAAAGTTCTGAAATAAATTTTCATTAAAAACCAAAATATTAAATTAAAGTAAATTTATACGTATGCTATAAAATGGCGAATTCGTCATTATCCTGACTGTCATTTTCCTGGCTTATGAATGCCAGAACATTGAAGTGCTACCAGAATTTTTTTTTTACTGCTAATACTGTAAGGAGGGAAAGCAAATATTAACGTAATACCAAGTTTATGTATGATTGTAATATACTTGAGTGTAATATACTTGAGTGTAATCAAAGTTATTTATTTATCTAATGATTGATTATTATGCACAATTTTATTCTGTACATATCAGCAACAAAAAAATTCTTGATTCTTCCTACAGTGGATTAAAAGAATTACTTTAAGCAATTTATGGTCCATCTAACATAAAGGCCTAAGTTGAGTTACTTACTATTAACTTGAAATGACTGTTTTTTAAACTTCTAAGCTTATATGTCATTTTCCTGGCATTCAAGATTTGGTGAATTTCTATTTTATTTTTTTTTCTCGAGCAAATGTCAATAAACTACACTGCTGCCTATAAGATATTACTAAGTGTAACTAAAGAAGTATGCAAAAAAAATTTTAGATTATTTTGAAGACTTTAAATTTGACGAAATTTTGTATTCCGAATTGTCATGTTTCCAAAGAATCACCCATATACAGAAATTCATACACATGTTTCATTGTAAAACTTTTTGTAAAAATAGATAAAAAAGTAGAATTTTCTTTCTTAGTTTAAAAAAATTAGTAAGGATTGTAATTGCGAATTCTTACCTTGCGTATCACTTCGAAATGCGTTACGTAAGTTACGTATCGCTACACTACAAGCACATAGAAACAAAATTATATAGATATGTTTGTCATTTTTAAAGCATCTTTTCATGATTCACAAAAGTAATTTTAAGTTCATTTTGCATCTATAAACTTGCTTTTATTAAGTGTCGATAAGTTATATTTCTTAAGAAAAAAATGCTGCCTTCATTTAAGCAACTTCCAGAACTAGCTTAAATCTAAGTATATTACTGAAATGACACATAATTAAATAAGTAAGCGCACATAAATTAACATTCAATTGACCATTACATTACATTGAATAACATTTAATTTACATGAATGAAATTTATTTTACATGAAATTATGTATATACTTTNTATATATATATATCTTTGGCACCTTGGCGATTGTTGTTAATACGAACAGATATTAATATAAAATGTTTCCAAAATATGACAAAGGAAAACTTTAGACGTATTAAAGGTTTTGCATGTTTGATATTTAATGTTTTTATTCTGGACTTTTTAGCATATTAAAAGTTTTCCTTGAAAAAAAGAAATCATTAAAAAACATGAACACTCGTGAACTACATTTCTTAATCATTTTAAATATTTGTTGAAAATAATAAAATGTTAAGCAAATTGTTTGACTATTTATATTAGACTAAATTGCTATTATTTTTCTAGGCATATACTATACAATGGCTGTAATTGGACCAGCGGTTGGTTACTTGATTGGAGGACAATTCCTCAAACTTTATGTAGATATTGGTGTTGATCCATCTGAGTAAGTAACTAGAATTTGTTAGAGATTAGTTTTTTAATTTGAATTAGGAACAGTATTTTATTAATTTTGCCAAAGGAAAAAAAGCAAGCAAATTTTCTTATATTGACCTATATTTACAAACAGAAGTAGAATTTGATTCGGGTTTTATACACATATTTTTCCAGCACTATTTTAAAACGTCATGACGGGAAATAATATCAAGATATCACATGCTAACATGTTAATCACAATAACTCTCTTAAAAATGACACGAAGGATTTGTTAATACTTTTGTGTATTTAATATACAATTGTTTATTCTTTATAAATATTTCTCGCTGTATCTATATATATTTTTTCAGAATGCGTCCATCAACATATTTGTTAGACCCAATATCTAAAAAGCAATAATTAGATTTATTTAGAAACGAGATTTAGATTTATTTTTAATTATTTAGATAGATTTATTTATTCATTAAGCAATATTTAGAAGCATCATTATGTGAAATAATACCATAATATTATATCTTAACTTGTTAATCTCGATAAATCTCGTATTATGACTCGAAAAAATCGTCTATACTCCTGTTTAAAAACTATGCAAATGTTTATTTTTTATAAATATTTTTCGCTGCAACTGTATATATTTTTTTTCACAGGTTGGGTCTAACAGCGTCCAGCAGTGTTTGGGTTGGTGCTTGGTGGATTGGATTCATATTTACAGCAATAATTGGTGCGCTTATAGCAATACCTCTCACAGCATTTCCGAAAACCCTTCCAGGTAAAACAGCTGGGAAATATGTTACTTATTTTTGCACATTCTTCCTCTCTCTCTCACTCTTTTTCACGATCTATCTCTTTTCCTCTCTCTCTTTTCCTCTCTCTCTTTTCCTCTCTCTCTTTTACTCTCTCTCTCTTTTCCTCTCCCTCTTTTCCTCTTTCTCTCTCTTCCTCTCTCTCCTTTCCTCTCTCTCTTTTCCCCTCACTCACTCTTTTTCCCTATCTCTCTCTTTTCCTCTCTCTCTTTTCTTCTCTCTCTTTTCCTCTCTCTCTTTTCTATCTCTCGTTTCCTCTCTCTTTTACTCTCTCTCTCTTTTCCTATATCTCTCTTTCCTTCTTTCTCTCTCTCTCTCTTCCTCTCTCTCTTTTCCTCCCTCTCTCTATCTTCCTCTCTTTTCCGCTCTCTCTCTCTTTTCCTCTCTCTCTCTCTTTTCCTCTCTCTCTCTTTTCCTCTCTCTCTCTTTTCCTCTCTCTATCTCTCTCTCTCTCTCTCTCTCTTTTCCTCTCTCTCTTTTTTCCTCTCTCTCTTTTTTCCTCTCTCTCTTCTTTCCTCTCTCTCTCTCTCAGTCTCTCTCTCTCTTTTCCTCTCTCTCTCTTTTCCTCTCTCTCTCTCTCTCTCTCTCTCTTTTCCTCTCTCTCTTTTCCTCTCTCTTTTCCTCTCTCTCTCTTTTCCTCTCTCTCTCTCTTCCTATCTTGAGGTTTACTCACATGTTTTTAAATGATTTTAAATCAATGTCTTTTTAAAATATCTTTTAAAGTACATTTAGAATAATTTTAAATGAA